GCTCCCCATCTTGTTCTCCCCTCATATCCGACTAGACAAGGATTCACCCACAGCACCATATCTTCCCTTTGCAGTTTCACCGAATCTGCTGACATTCTTCTTGAAACACAAAAAGCTCCAGGGGACTAAACCCAAATTTTTCGTGGCTGCAGAAAAACAATATGAAGTTCAACGATAGAAATTTAAATTACTCAGATATTTAAACTGGGGAAAATTAAATCTTCATCAGATAAAAAACAAATTCTGGCCACAATAGGAAAAACACCACGTCAAAGACCTGGGAGTGATCATGTCGGGGGATTCCCCTTCAAGGCCCATAACTTTGTATAAATCGCTCGCTAGAAAATGAAGGATGGAAAAGGGAAACCCTTTCAAAATGGGGAGGCCAACCCCTTGATGACACTTTTCGGGTACTTGTTTATCTAGGCTGGAATATTGCTGCACAAACAGCACCTTTAAAGGCAGGTGAAATTGCCACCTAGAAAATGTACGGAACTTTCACGGCGCGCTAACGGAGATAAAACACCTCAATTTTTGGGGAGCGCTTGAGGTTTTCCTAAACCTGTATTCCCGGGAAAGGGGAAGGGGGTAATGATTATATACCTGGAAAACCCTAGGGGGGATATACAAAACTTGCACCGAAAATCACTCACTACGAAAGCAAAAACTTGGCAACGATGCCCACCCCCCCAATGAAACGGGGTGTCACTAGCACTTTAAGAGACCCAAAAAGTGTGGGGGCCCAAGATGTTCAACTGCCCCCCACACACATAAGGGGGATTACCAACAACCCGGGGCAGTCTTAAACTTGCACGGACAAGCCCCTAAAGTCAGTTCCGGATCACCCGGGCTTGGTGTACGTTGGTTTGGTGCAGCCAGCACAACAGCTGGTTGATCAGGCTTACCACCAGGAGGCCTGGTCCACCCCGGCCGGGGGGGGCGTTACCCCGGGAAACTCTCCCCGGTAAACTCCAGGTAAACACAGGCAAAAGGAAAAGGAAAAAAAAAGAAAAACGGTAGATCCGGACAGAGAAACAAAACCTGATATCAAAATGCTTCTTCAATCTTTAAACGCTTTTTTTTTTCCAATATTTTTTTACTACCCATGATGAAAAATACTCTTTACCTCGCTTAAAACCCCCATTTTTTTATTTTTACTGCTGAGTCTTCTGAACGCTTATGAAATGCTGAGTCATTTTTAAATTTGGTGTCACCTCCATCAACATGTTTTTATTCTACCAACAATGAATCTCTTTCGACAACAATTATGGTAACCGGCATCCGCTGCATGCAAGTCACTGACATGTATAAATGAGACATGCAACGTGAGGTAACTCTTATGTAAAAGTTTTGCCCACTAGAATCTTTATCAATTGATAAAGCCGCTGGTAGGATAATTCTAAGTTAAATATGCCTATAGCAATTATGTGTGCATAGCAACTACTATAAAAATATGTGATAATCCTGAAGAGAGCTTATCTTATTACTTGATTCGCAACTCATGCTGACCATTAACAATTCACCAAAAACCCGCAATTAATAAATAATCACAAAATATTCAGGCTCTTCTTCTTGTACATATGTACGAATATTAGTAGTAATATACCTTCCTAAAAATATATATGAACTATAAAGTCAGAAGCCGCCAAGGAAACCTTAATCAATATTGACTTGAGTTGTATAGTTGAACTTATATTTAGCTGTCATTCTACCTTCAGTTTAGCATGCACTTAACAGACTGAAGTATCAACAACTAGTTGACAAATGTATTTAAATACAGCGTTCCTGGGCTTATTCTATTTTTTTCATTTTTTATGTGCTATGAAGGTTTAAAGTTGGCGCCTTAGTGAGCAGCCAGTGAGGTTGCATCACCAGTAATGGCGTGGGTTATCCTTAACTCCTATTGGTTCATCTTGCTAACGTTACTTAAACATCTATCGTGTTAAGTAGTTTATAGTGTATATAAAAATTATTTTACTTAATAGATGCATTTCTAATTGTTTTTAATGATTATTTTTAATAAGAAGCTTATATTTTAATTGCGTTTGAAATTTATATACGCATGTAAGCAAAGCAGCAGTGGAATTTTCCTTTCCACCATAAACCTGTAATATCCGCGATAGAAACTAGTTCTAATCAGTGTTATGAACTATATGTATAACTTTATTGCTCTCATAATAATTTAAACATTGTTTATTGTTTTAAATGTTGTAACTTGCATATAACGTAATGCGTGTTTCTAATTTAAAATCGAGAAAAAATCGTAAGGAGTGTGATAAAAGATGTTGCGCGCGTCAGAAGGAAGAGCATATCGAGTTGTTCTTTCACTCTCTGGGTGACCACGGGATCACTGCTCAGTCACTTCTCCCACCCTCCAGCAATTGCCAGTATCACCATCATGGGCAATCCCAAGGTTTTCTTCGATGTCACCGCTAATAACAAGCCTCTTGGCAGGGTTGTTATGGAGGCAAGTGTGTTAGAATATAGCCTCTATAACGTTTTAGTTCAGAAAACATTAGGTCTGACAGCTGTCAAAATGCCGGCTTTGTGGAATGTGATAGCGTGTAATTGTGAACTTTGGTAACTTTACCTGTAATTTACTGGGCTTTGGTATCAGCACTTGAGTTATACCGTTACAGAATAGCAATGTTAATAGAGAATGTCCTGTAGCTTATATGTGTTTCAGTAATGTTCGGGAAAATTAATTTAGAAATTGACTAAAATTTTTGTATTGATCCACTTATGTAAAAAAAAAATTCTTTGGGTTATCTTTGTGGTTTGTATATGGTTTATCGTGAAATTGTTGTGCATTCTGTAGTCTTCTTCAATTTTTTAATGTTTTTAAAGAGATTGGACGTATGAAATATACTAGGCGCTGAACTGTCCTGTTATGTCCCAGGGTTTTCATGTAACTTAAGCCAACTAGTTATTTAGGTGGCGTGTGTGTACTTTTTTTTAATGCCTCGACGTAATTTAGGTTTAACGTTAGTTGCCTATAATTTTTAAATTATAATGGATTAATTTAAATAGGGAAACCCGACATTTGACTAGTCAGACTGGGTAACGTCGGTGAGATTAGATAGTATCGGAATTTCGTGTTGTAATCTTTAAAGCTTTTCAGGTTCACTACATTGTGGTATTTTATTCACTGGTTGTAACATTAGGCATAAATTAGTGGTTAGGTATAAATTAAATATGCCATGGACAACTGGGACTGTTCTTTTAGTTTTAGCTTTAAATTGGAATGAAGTGCAAATTAACTTAAATTAATTAAATTGTACTAAAGAATGTGTGCATCATTGCAACTAAATCCTGCTGTCTATTCTCACTCCTGTACTTAATTACCCAATTCGTGCTTAAATGACTAATTTAAGTTTAGTTCTTGCCTAGATGTTAGTCTTAAGAATTTAATCTTTATTACCGCCCATTCACTGGGTACTGAGCCTTGAGTTTGGTTTTTGCTTTCCCCACCACTTTGAATGTAGTACAGTACTTATTTTACAAAAAATTATTTAAGAACATAAACACTGCAGACTTAGTAGCACAAGCTAGTCAGGCCCAACTCTCGCCCACCCATACCCACTCTTGTATTTTACCAATTTTTAAAGCTACACAGGTTTAGCTTCTATGACGGTACTCTAGAGTTTGTTCACTCATCCACAACTGTTACCAAACCAATGTTTACCTATATCCTTCCTGGATCTGAATTTTTCAACTTTAAACCATTGCTGCGAGTCCTGTCTTGGCTAGATATTTTAGCACACTATCTACATCCCCTTTATTCCTGTTTTCCATTTATACCCCTCAATATCCCCTCTAATTCTACGCCTTTCTAGAGTGCGGATTCAAGGCCCTCGGTCTATCCTCGTAGGGAAGATTTGATACATGGGATAACTTTGTCATCCTTCTCTGTATGTTTTCCAGTGCATTTATATCCATTCTGTAATACGGTGACCAAAACTGTGCAGCATAATCTAAATGAGACCTGACCAAGTATATAGTTGAACAACCCGAGATCTATTATTTATGCTTCTTGATATGAAGCCGAAGATTGTTTGCTTTTTGAACACATGTACTGTTTTGGTTTTAGATTACTGCTAACCAGAACTCCCAAATCTTTTTTGTAGTCAGTAATATTAATATCTACATTTTCCAGTTTGTGGCTTGGTAATTTTCCTGTCCAATGTTTAGAACCTTGTATGTCTATAATAAACTGCATCTGCCACTTCTCAATCACTGCATCAGTCTATTCAAAACTTTCTAAGTGCTCTAATGTCCTCGTCAGAATGAATTCGACGGCCTATTTTGGTATTGGCAAACTTGCTTATGTCTATTCCTTTGTCATTTATGTAGATTGTGAACAAGGGGCCCAACACTGATCCCTGTGGAACACTGCTTATGACTTTCCCACTCTGATTTCTGCCCACTTATGCAAACTATTGCTTATTTCAACCACACCTCTATCTAGGAAATTTATTCAGTGTGCCTTAATTTTCCTCTAGTCTCTGATGTGGGACTATCAAAAGACTTACTGAAGTTCATATACACAATATATTCATAACCATGATCTACCTCAAGTACCTTAGTGAAAAAAATTAATAAATTTGCAAGGCAGGAATGCCCTTTTGTAAAAATGCTGAGATTCGTTGATCAATTTATGCTCTTCAAAATGGCTACGAAATGCCTCTGCAATTGAGTCCATAAATTTTTTCACTGGATCTTAGGCTTATTGGTCTATAGCTCGAAGCTAAGGACCTGTCATCTGCTTTGAAAATAGGTATCACATTGCCATTTTCCATTTATCTGGCACTGCCAGTTTGTAGTGATGAAAAAATTAGCCTGAGGGTGTGCTAAGCTCTTTACATTACTTATCTAGCAGCTCTTCTCTCCTACCTTTCTCAATATCATTTCCACCAGCACTGAGATAATAGGCTTGTTCCCATTACCTGACATTATCCAACCTGTTAACTGTCACCACCCACAGCTCAGGAAAACTCCCTTTTCCTATTACAGAAAAGTACGGTCCATATCTTGCTTGCGAGCCACCAACTGCAAGAATGTGCTTACCTCTATTAGTACTCATCCTGAACAGAAGTGATTTCCTATCTTCAAATCTTAACATTTCTTATTTTGATGCTCCTCCCATTACTGGGACCCACTTGCCGCTTGTAGCAGGTGCTGTACTACTCACTCCTGGTAGCCTCATTTCCCTCACCCACTCCAGCCACCTCACCTTCACTCCCAAACCCATTGAGGTGATTCTTCAACCTCCTAATTTCCTCCTGGAGAAGTAGGACTACCACCTTCAATACTAATCTCAACACACTAATCTTCAGCACTGTGGAAGCAAGCCATGGCTTTGTAACTCTCCACACTAATCCCCAAAGTAGCTCAGGACCATATGACCACTTAGTAGGAATTAGCTAATGCTTATTCATGATCACTAGCATTCCAGCCATGTAGAAAAGATTCTGGTCATGGAATTGTGAAGAGGTTCATTTCAATTATAGATGCAAAAATCCTTGGGACATCTATTTTGTATTATACCACAGTAATTTACATGAAGCACTTTGGAATTAAGCCTACTGGTCTGCTAGGCAGTTACTACTGTACCAACCACTCTTAGGTTAATTTAAATGTTTGACATGATACTTCAAAGATGTTAGTTGGCATTTTCCTCTGGAAAACTGCCAAGTACTACAGGAGTTGGGTCAAGACTTGCCAAATTAGCAGCAGTCCAAGGGTTTGGCTGTCAAAATAGTATCTAGCAGTCTGTTAAAATGTTTCTTCAATGATGTGATACCAGTGGTTATTAGCCAATTAGATTCACTTTAGTTTATACATGGAAGAACTCTGCCAGTAGGAAAATACTGTGGACTTTTGACGTTGAAAAGTAATGTTGATCACTTGTTTGTGCTATGTTAAGTAAATTGGGGTGTGGGACTAACAGGGCCAGCTTGCATACTTTATACTTGTACTCTAGGTATCTTTTTAACCCTTAAATGGTCCAAACGTATGTTTTTTCAGCATCTGAAAGTATGTAAAAGAATGTAGATCTTTTTTGTTTTATGTTTGAAAACGTGTAAAAAAAACTTCTCTACATTTTTTTGTTATATTTGAAAGTATGTAAAAAAAAAAAAGTGGATCTACTTTTGTAGCAATACAAATTTGAACGTTGATTTGTTTGGACCGTTTAAGGGTTAAAAGGTTCTAGTTAACACTACCACTGTGATCCTTTAACTTAAAGTCTTTGTACATACAAATTTCTGTGGGTTGTAGCAAATACACTAGCCTTTTGTATTGAAATTTTGCTGGTCCATGGCCAGGCTTGGGAAGTAGGAAAACCTCAAATCTTGTGCAAGTTATTTCTTGCCAAAAATTGAATGTTTAGTCTGCTTAGCATGATCATGGGTATTGGAACAATTATTTAAAAGTCAAAGGTTGGTGTATTTGCTGCAAGAAACCCATAAATACATAGTTTATTACTATAAGGTCCCAACAAATTTATGCATTCATACTTTTATCTTGCTGTAAAAAGCATGCCTAACAAGTTTTACTGGGTTTTAGTATAGCCTTTTTAGCTATGAGTCGGTGACACCTATAGGAGGAGTCCTTAGGTTATTCAACTCTGTTGTTGGTTAGGCCTTGCTTAAATTATGCTGCACAGTTCTTGTCAGTCTTGCAGAATGGATATAAATGCTGGGAAATGTACAGAGAAGGATGACAATTGATCCCATGTATACCTGGAGATTTTCAGGGGTCAGTGCTCCAGTAGCCTGGTCTGTGACAAGCTTCGGGTATTGGAAATCTTTCCTATAAGGATCAATTAAGGACCCTTGATCTGCACTCTAGAAAGGCATAGGTTAGGGTGGGGGGATATGATTTAGGTGTATAAATGGGAAAAGTGGAATAAAGGATGTAAATAAGTGCTAAAAATCTCTCAACCAAGACGGGCCTCTCAGCAATAGTTTGATATATTTAGACTTAGAAAGGATATAGGAAAGCATTGGTTTGGCAAGTTGTGGATTTAGTGGAACACTGCCGAGTAGTGTCAGTGAAGCTCAAACTTTTTAAAAGTACGTTAGACAAATGTACATCGTGGGTGTGGGTGGCTGTGACTTGGCCTTGACTAGCTTAGGCCAGTAGGTGACTTGGACCTGCTTATCATGGGCCAGTAGGTCTGCTGCAGTGCTTCAGTTCTTATAACTTAGACTGAAGGAAGATTGACTGGTTTAGAGAACAGGAAGGATAACCATGTATACCAGATTGGAAAAGATTGTGTACACTTGAATATAGCTAGTTGTCTTGCCCCCACTTTAAGTGGCATCCCATAAAATGTAACTGGCATAGAATGTCTTGTGCAGTAGAACTAAGGAGCATATCTTAACTATCCATGGTTCACAATTAGTTTTGCCTTGGCATTTTTTTAGTAGGCCCTTTCACAATTTACAGAAATAAACTAGTTAGCTACTTATACAAATGACAAAAAATCGAGTGGAGGACAAAAGTTAGACAAATGGTCTAAGCCTCGTGAAAGGAAATGATGAAACGCCAGTTAACTAGCATAGTACTTATAAATTCAAATGGAAATGTGTGCTGGAGGTTAAAAATATCCCTGGAAAGGGTAAAGTAAGGGACAAGTTCATAAATGGAAATTGGTAAAAAGATAAGCTTCCAATATGAAGTACACATTAGATTATGCAATAAGATCACAGTAAATGGGTCGATTTCAGAATATGCAAAACAACCACTCTGAAAGAATAGAGAAATTCCAAGCGCTTTCGTGACTACTCACATTATCAAGGAACTATGAAAGTAAAGCATCCAAGGAAGCTATATAAGGGGTCTTGCCAGCACCTCTATCAGATCCCACAACGGTTAAACACCTGACGCGCGCCGACCCAACTTGGATAGGTCCTTTGCACAACTCGCCCCACAAACTATTCTACCCAAGAAAATTTAAAAATTATTTGTCCAGTGTATTATTAAATTCTTCCCAAATTCTATTAATTATAAATGGATCTAATTTATATAAACCAAAGGAAATATTCATATTTTTGTCAAAACTGCTTTTTATGAAACAAGATTCAATTATATTCCTGTCGACCATGGACTTGCTTGATACTACTTTCTCAACTTTTTGAAAATCAATTGGATGGTTAAAATCTTACATGAATAAATAGAGCATTGGAATCTTGTCCAGTTCTAATGCTATATTTGTTGTTTTAATCTTAGTTTGAGATTTTTACCAGTTTGACCGTAATAAGCTTTATCGCAAATTTTACAAGGAATCTTAGACACATCCATCAGCATTTTGGGGGGAATTCTTTATCAAAAGTTTTTTTACTGTATCAAGATTTTTGAATACAACTTTAATATTAAAAGTCTTAAGAAGAGAAGGCATATCAACCAAGTTTTCATGGTAAGGGAGAACCAACATACTTTTAGTTGAATAAGGCTGGTTGTCCCTTTTTGGATTGTAAAAAGTATTTCTAGCAACTTTAAAAGATTTATCAATTACATTTCTTGGGTATTTTAAATCATTACCTATTTCATAAATTGAGGATATTTCCTCATCTATGAACTCAGGACTACAAATTCATAAAGCTCTCAGAAACATTGAGAAAACAGACAGTTTGACTCTATCTTGATGCGAGGAATAATAGTGGACATAGGAACAGTTATTTGTAGGTTTTCTGTAAATTTTAAATTTGAATTCATTATTACCCTTAATAATTAAAACATCTAGAAAAGGCAATGAGTTATTTTCTTCAAACTCAACAGTAAAGTTTATAGAATGGGCTAAGTAATTTTTCTAGGAAATGGTGTATATCTATATTTTTGGGCTTAAGACACAAAATATCAACATATCTGAACCGTTTAGCTCTATTAGGGAGGATTGTTAAGTAACCTAGTTTCAAAAAATTCCATGTATAGGTTACTAAGAACAGGTGAAAGAGGGTTTTCCATTGCCATACCAAACTTCTGAGTGTAAAACTTATTAAATACAAATTTTGCATCAACAATGCAAAGTTTAATAAGTTTAATGATAGGAACTGGCAATGGTAAATCATAGTTAACGAGTTCTTCAGATAAGAAACTTAATAAATCAACAGGAACTTTTGTAAACAAGGAAGTAACATCAAAACTAACCATGTTAAAATCATTTAAGTCAGTCAAGGAGCTTAATTTATCAACCAAGTCTGTTGTTTTTAACATTAAAGTTAGAAATTTTGCCAACAATAGGGCTCAAAATATCAACAAGCCATTTGGATAATTTATATGAAACTGACCCTATGGAGCTAATAATTGGTCTGACTGGATTCCCTGGTTTGTGTGTTTTTATTAGTCCATACATGTAAGGTAAAGATGGATTAGTGGAAGTAAATTGTTTGACTAATTCATCTTTGCCTTTCAGTAAAAATCTCGAACTAAGATTAAAACAACATAAATATAGCATTAGAACTGGACAAGATTCCAATGCTCTATTTATTCATGTAAGAGATTTTAACCATCCAATTGATTTTCAAAAAGTTGAGAAAGTAGTATCAAGCAAGCCCATGGTCGACAGGAATATAATTGAATCTTGTTTCATAAAAAGCAGTTTTGACAATAATATGAGTATTTCCTTTGGTTTATATAAATTAGATCCATTTATAATTAATAGAATTTGGGAAGAATTTAATAATACACTGGACAAATAATTTTTAAATTTTCTTGGGTAGAATAGTTTGTGGGGTGAGTTGTGCAAAGGACCTATCCAAGTTGGGTCGGCGCGCGTCAGGTGTTTAACCGTTGTGGGATCTGATAGTGAGGTGCTGGCCAGACCCCTTATATAGCTTCCTTGGATGCTTTACTTTCATAGTTCCTTGATAATGTGAGTAGTCACGAAAGCGCTTGGAATTTCTCTATTCTTTCAGAGTGGTTGTTTTGCACATTAGATTATTGAGTATTTTTGGAAAGATGCTAGTTTGGTTGGTTGTGAAGGCAAAAATACTAATTTGCTTAAGGACTAAGCTTAAATAGGTTTAGAAAGTGTAGGATCACCCTAGTCTGGGCTAGTCTTATGCAGTGCTGTATCCTAATGGGATTAATAGCTAGTAGGGAAATGTAACTTTCACTCTTAAATATGGTGTTCAAAGGAGTGGCACACGACCACTTATTTAAAACCTACCCTCCAGGTAGAGTTGGACTAGGGATAGTGTTAAATAATTTGCCCTTGAATGTTTGTGAATATGTAGTTATTGTAATTTATACTAAGTATACTATTCTTACGAACTTATTTTTGTTTCAGCTGCGTGCTGATGTAGTGCCAAAGACTGCAGAGAATTTCCGGGCCCTGTGTACTGGAGAGAAGGGCTTTGGCTACAAGGGGTCCACTTTCCATCGTGTTATCCCCAATTTCATGTGTCAAGGTGGAGACTTCACTAATCATAATGGAACTGGTGGAAAGTCTATTTATGGTGCAAAATTTCCTGATGAGAATTTCACCCTGAAGCACACTGGCCCTGGTATTTTGTCCATGGCCAATGCTGGCAAAAACACTAATGGCTCGCAGTTCTTCCTGTGTACAGTCAAAACCAACTGGCTAGATGGCAAGCACGTGGTCTTTGGCAGCGTTGTGGAGGGCATGGATGTTGTTCGTCAGATTGAGGGTTATGGAAAGCCTAGTGGTGATACCACTGCAAAAATAGTAATTGCCAATTGTGGCCAGTTGTAATTTCAACATTCCTTCATAATGTGCCCACCCAGCCTAGATCTGTGTTCTATGTAGGCAGTAACATGGGACCATAATAAAAACATGGTTATGGTTTCAAGTGCATAGATGTTAAACCTAGGATTTTTCATTTACATGATTTTTTCATTGTATTTGAATGTCGACGCCAGGCTGATATTCAGTGTATGTCGTCTTCTCACTTATCAGTAAAAATTGGAAGCTTTCATAATTCTTTAAGCCTATATTTAAAACCCCATTGAGTAATCTTTCCAGGTCCTTAACCCTGTTTTAATTTCCCAAAGCACTATAGTACTGCCTTAATGCTGGAGATTGACCAATTGTAAATGCATACCTCCCATTCCCAGTGCAAAGATTTGAAAGTTTATGGCTTTCTCTTCAAATTTAATACTTGGTTGGTGTGACAGCTTTAGTGCTGTGTATGTTGAAACTGAAGGGTTCACTTTTAGGCGCATCCTCGGTCAGTATGCAGTGGTGACTGCATGGGAGTATCCCTCAGTTCCCTGATGCCAGTGAGGGGCTCAGTTTCCAAGAATTGGACTTCCTCTTCCCGAATTTTAGCCCACACTCCACTCGTAAGTACAAGATTGGTCTTTAAAAGGTACATCCCCTCAGATTTTGATAATGGTGAGGGGCATATGGTCTGTGGAACTGGACAAGTGCTTCCCTTCCTTGGATCGAACCTGAGTTCCTTAACTTCACATGCTGTACGATTCCGGGTCTAGCACTCCTATGACTAAATTTTTAATTTAGGGTGCATCTGAAAAATGTCAACAGAGGAAATTTAATTGAAGTGAGAAAATGTATTGCATAATGTGGAAACTTGACTGTGACGAGTGAACAGGTTATCTTTGAAAATTAATGAACCAATTTAATAGTTGATTAGCATCCTGAAAGCACTGAATAACCAGTTGTGCTTTTGTAAATTAAATCCTTGCTCAAAGAGCTTTGCCAGCATATAATTTAACTTTTGAGGGCAGTGCCGCTGTATAGCCCTTGTGGCTTAGTGCTTCTTTTTGATTATAATAATGAGGGCAGTGCCTTTATACCAGCAAATGACTTGAAAGGGAATGAATACTGATGTGAGCTTAGAGTATGTTATTTAACCCTTAAAATGTCCAAACGTAGATCTACGTTTTCTTCAACATTTGAAAGTATGTAAAAAAAAAAAAGGAGCTTTTTATTTTTTACATTTGAAAACTTGTAAAAAACTTAAATCTACGTTTTTTTATGTAAAAAACGTAGATGTACTTTTGGAGCACTACACATGTGAACGTAGATCTGTTTGGACAGTTTAAGGGTTAAATATCCCTTCAAGGCCTCGTGCTTCTACCTTAGGTTTATCCTGTAAATCCTCTTTAGGATTTGTGCTGGTGACCTTTTTAAAAGGAATTTGACTAGTCTTATTTCTGTGAAGTTTCCCAGGCATTGCACGACATTAAGGGTTTAATGGTTGGTATTTTTGTTAAATGTATGAAAGGGGAAGGTACCTAGGGATTGGCAGAGAACATGTCTAGTCCCTTTATATAAAGGGAAGGGGGACAAAAAGATTTTAAAAATTATAGAACGAGTTTACCGAGTATCAGGAAGTGTACGGTAGGGTTATTGAAAGAATTAGAGGTAAGAATGTAGAATTGCGGATGAGCATGGTGGTTTTAGTGGGTAGGGGATGTGTAGATAGTGTTTACATTAAAGCATATATGTGAACAGTATTTAGATAAAGGTAGGGAAGTTTTTATTGCATTTATGGATTTAGAAAAGGTGTATGATAGTGGTTAGGGGAGCAATGTGGCAAATGTTGCAAGTATATGGAATAGGTGGTAAGTTAATAAATGCTGTAAAGAGGTTTTTGAGGATAGTGAGGCTCGGGTTAGGGTATAGGAGAGGGAGACTACTTCCAGTAAAGGTGGGTCTTAGGGATGTGTAATGTCAATATGGTTGTTTAATATATTTATAGATGGGGTTGTAAAAGAAGTAAATGCTAGGGTGTTCGGGAGAGGGGTGGGATTAAATTATGGGGAATCAGATACAAAATGGGAAGTTACTTTTTGCTGATACTGTGCTTTTGGGAGATTCTGAAGAAAAATTGCAGAGGTTAGTGGACTAATTTGGGAGTGTAAAGGTAGAAAGTTGAAAGTGAACATAGAAAAGAGTAAGGTGATGAGGGTTATCAAATGATTTACATTAAGAAAAATGGGATATCAAATTGAGGAATATGGAAGAAGTGAATGTTTTCAGATATTTGGGAATTGACATGTCAGCAGATGGATTTATGAAGGAAGAGGTTAATCATAGAATTGAGGGGAAAAAAAATAGTGGTGCATTGAGGTCTGTGGAGACTAGTGTTAGCTATGGAGGCAAAGAAGGGAATGTATGAAAGTATAGTAGTACTAACACTTACATGGGTGTGAAGCTTGGGTTGTAAATGCTGCAGTGAGGAGGCAGTGGAGATGTCCTGTTTAAGGGCAATGTGTGGTGCAAATATGCAGAAAATTAGGAGTGTGGAAATTAGGTGTGGAGTTGAGTATGTCAAGAGGGGTTGAGGTGGTTTGGTCATTTAGAGAATGGATCAAAGTAGAATGACGTGGAGTGCATAAATCTGTAGGGAAATGAAGGCAGGGTAGGGGTCGTCCTTGGAAAAAGTTTGAGGGAGGGGGTAAAGGTTTTGTGGGCGAGGGGCTTGGGCTTCCAGCAAGCGTGTGAGTGTTAGTGAATGGAGACAAATGGTATTTGGGACCTGATGAGCTGTTGGAGTGAGAGCAGAGTAATATTTAGTGAAGGGATTCAGGGAAACCAGTTTTTATATAGCCTGGCTTGAGTCCTGGAAGTGGGAAGTACAATGCTAAAGGAGGGGTTTAGGATATTGACAGTTTGGAGGGATATGTTTTGTTTCTTTATATGTATATCCTTCTAAACTGTTGTATTCTGAGTACATCTGCAAAAAGTGATTGAGTGAGGTGAAAGCGTTTGATTTTCTTTTGGGGGATTTTTTCATTTTGGGTCACCCTGCCTCGGTGGGAGACGGCCGACCTTTAAAAAAGACTCGAGGGAAGTAATTCGTAGTGAAGATCTCTTGTTCTGGGTATGTAGATCTGTGCTCCAGATTCATTCCAGAATCTCTCCCCAGGCACTGGGTTTAGCGCTCCCCCTCGATAACGAATGACTTGTTTACTATACATTGCCCAAGCACCAATAGAGAAGTGCTAAACCCGTAGGATTATACAGCGCTTGGGGGGGGGATGGAAGGTATTCAGGGAATGAGCACAGATCCAATTTCCTAGATAAAGAACCCTTCCCCTCACACTTGAGGGGCCCAGGTACTAAGATCTTCATGGTGAACGGCATGGCGTTTTCACACTTGGATCACTGGTATTATGTTGCAAGTGTTAAGTGCTTTCCCCACAAGTCAGTGATTACCTATTTAACTTGAATGTTGTATAGCTCCCTACAAATTTGGTTTCCCCATTAATTATAATTACTGTAATTTGTTTTATTACACTTTCTCTAGATCACTCCACTACCCTTGCTAACTCTGCCTCTTGCTCCTAGACCTCGCTGGTCAATCTTCATCCCTCGAGGAAGGTTCCTTGATGCTTGTGAGGGGCTTGTAATCTAGGGAATTTGATCTGTGCTCCAGTTCCCCTGAATTAAACCTGAATACCTTCCACATCCTCCCCCCCCCCCTTCACAGGCACTGTATAATCCTATGGGTTTAGCGCTTCCTCCTTGATTGTAAGTCTCCATACATTGCTTTAGCATGTGCAAAGCTATATGACCTTTGTGGGTTTAGCGCTTAGTTTTGATTGACTTGTCAGTTTACCATATCCTGTATCAGTGGGCATGCAGGATTCGCTTCAGTCACTTATTTTGCCATAGCTTGCACAGGCGCTGACTTTCCTAGTAGCAGCCTCCCGAATGCTGTCGACCGTGTTTCCTACTGGGCCACCACTGGGGCTCTTAAGTTTTGTTACTAAGACATTCCAAGACTTCGTTCCTAATACTGCGTTATATCTATGGTTCTCGTATTCCTGATTTTTTTTTTCTACCTTTCGTTTAACCTCCAGATATCCTGGAAACCGTATAACCTATATAAAAGCTGCTTGCCAGTCTGTTGACCCTCTTCAAAATTTTCACATCTTTCATTTTGCTCTCTACGAAATTGGATTGAGACCATCTACATTTTGCACGCTCCTACACCTTTCTAAACTTTAATTCCATTCATAAAGGATCGAGTTTGTCTAGGTGGTTTTTGTCCTTTTAAGTCTAGGCGGAGACTAATGATCCCTCTAAGATTGTGATGCCCGTTGTCCTTTTAGTCTGTTCTCGTGACCTTCACGATCCTGCACATGGGATGGTCTTGTTGAATCGCCACCCCTACGTTCCTTTTCTCTGCATTAACTTATTTTTCCAATCCACCCAGCATCTTTGCCTTTCAGAAGTTCCAAAGATTAGTTTTTCTCTGTTGAGAAATGGGATTACCAGCTAAGTTTAAATATAGGGAAACTTAACTTACGAAGACAGCTCATCGCCTGCACAGCTGCCCCTGCAGACAAGGTCTTGAGAAGCTGTCGAAGTCATCTCTCGACGGGCTGTAACGAGTTATAATTTGTAAGATTATAAATTACCCCTAGGGGGTGTTATGTCAGCATTTCATTCACTGATGGCTGACAAACTTGTGTGGACTCAAAAGTCCGCACCTAACTGCCGACTATAGGTTGATTACAAACTCCTTGCAACTCAAGAACTGCGCAGTCCCCCATACTACAAAAAATTCGTAACCTACCTTGCTCTTGTAGCGTGAGCTTTGGTGTTCTTCACACCTTTGACAGGTATCGGTGACTTGATAGAAGCTGAAGTGTCCTTGGATGTCCAAGCCTTCCATAGTCTAGGAATACGCACACTAGTACACATGTTCCACAAGATTTGTCTTTATTGTTCACAATCTTATCACTAAATAAGCTGATCACACTTCTCTTAAGTGTTTATTGAGTTTTATGCTGTATAGTCCTTGTGGCTTAGAACTTTTTGATTATAATAGTGTTTTATGAGACTTCACACTAATGCACAGATCGTTCTTTGTTGGTTATCCTGGCGTCAGTGTCACTCTCGGTAGAGTCAAAAGTAATCTGAAGACGCCACAACGTCCCACGCAGTCACTGCCCTGGCACAAAGGAAAAGCTGACATAGTACCTTTGCTTCCTTGCCACTTCC